AACAGATATCATAACAAAATCAGTCTCTCAGACAACAGTGCAATCAAGTTAGAACTCGGAATTCAGAAACTAACTCAGAACCGCAGAGCTTCATGAAAACCGAAAAACTGGCTCTTGAATGTTGACTGGATAAACAATGAAATGAAGGCAGAAATAAAGATGTTCTTCGAAAACAACAAGAATGAAGACAGGACATACCAGAATCTCTGGGACACATTTAAGGCAGTGTCTAGAAGAAAAGATATAGCAATAAATGACTATATGAGAAGCAAGGAAAGATCTAAAATTGACACCCTATCGTCAAAATTGAAAGAGCTAGAGGAGCGAGATAAAAAAAACTCGAAACCTAGTAGAACACAAGAAATAACTAAGATCAGAGCAGAACTGAAGGAGATAGAAAAACACACACACAAAAAAAACCTTCAAAAAATCAAAAAATCCAGGAGCTGGTTTTTTGAAAAGATCAACGAAATAGACAGACCACTAGCCAGATTAATAAAGAGAGAATAATCAAATAGATGCAATAAAAAACAATAAAGGGGATATCACCACAGGTTCCACAGAAATACAAACCATCATCAGAGATTATAACAAACAACTCTATGCACATAAACTAGTAAACCTGGAAGAAATGGAAAAATTCCTGGACACTTGCATCCTCCTAAGCCTAAACCAGGAAGAAACCGAAACCCTGAATAGACCAATAACAAGTTTTGAAGTTGAGGCAGCAATTAAGAGCCTACCACCCAAAAAATGCCCAGGTCCAGATGGGTTCACAGCTTAATTCTAACAGACAAACAAAGAGTAGCTGGTACCATTCCTTCTGAAACTATTCCAAACAATCCAAAAAGAGGGAATCCTTCCCAAATCATTTTATGAGACCAACATCATCCTGATACCAAAACCTGGCAGAGACTCAGCAAGAAAAGAAAACTTCAGGCCAATATCCATGATGAACATAGATGCAGAAATCTTCAATAAAATGCTGGCAAACTGATTGCAACAGCACATCAAAAAGCTTATCCATCATGATCGAGTAGGCTTCATCCCGGGGATGCAAGGCTGGTTCAACATACGCAAGTCTATAAACATAACTGATCACATAAACAGAGCCAAAGACAAAAATCACATGATTATCTTAATAGATGCAGAGAAGGCCTTCAACAAAATTCTACAGCCCATCATGCTAAAAACTCTCAATAAACTAGGTATTGATGGAACATATCATAAAACGATAAAAGCTATATATGACAAAGCTACAGCCAATATCATACTGAACGGGCAAAAGCTGGAAGAATTCCTTTTGAAATCAGGCACTAGATAAGGATGCCCTCTCTCACCATTCCTATTCAACATAGTATTGGAAGTTCTAGCCAGAGCAATCAGGCAAGAAAAAGAAATAAAGCGTATTCAATTAGGAAAGGAGGAAGTCAAACTGTCTCTACTTGCAGAGGACATGATCGTGTATCTAGAAGACCCCATCATCTCAGCCCAAAATCTTCTCAAACTGATAAGCAACTTCAGCAAAGTCTCAAGATACAAAATCTATGTGCAGAAATCACAAGCATTCCTATACACCAATAACAAACAGCCAGATCATGAGCATTCATGATCTCTCCCATTCAGAGAATAAAATACTTAGGAATACAACTAACAAAGGATGTAAAGGACCTCTTCAAGGAAAACTACAGACCACTGGTCAAGGAAATAAGAGAAGACACAAACAGAAGGAAAAACATTCCATGTTCATGGTTGGGAAGAATCAGTATTGTGAACATGGCCATACTACCCAAAGTAATTTATAGATTCAACACTATCCCTATCAAGCTGCCATTGACCTTCTTCACAGAACTGGAAAAAAACCACCTTAAACTTCATATGGAACCAAAAGAGAGCCCGCATAGCCAAGACTAATCCTAAACAAAAAGAACAAAGCTGGAGGCATCACGCTATCTGACTTCAAACTATACTATGAGGCTACTGTAATCAAAATAGCATGGTACTGGTACCAAAACAGACATATAGACCAAAGGAACAGAACAGAGGCCTCAAAGGCAGCACCACACATCTACAACCATCTGATCTTTGACAAACCGGACAAAAACAAGCAATGGGGAAAGGATTCCCTGTTTAATAAATGGTGTTGGGAAAACTGGCTAGCCATGTGCAGAAAGCAGAAACTGGACCCCTTCCTGACACCTTACACTAAGCTTAACTCCGGATGGATTAAAGACTTAGACATAAAACCTAACACCTTAAGAACCCTAGAAAAAAACCTAGGTAATACCATTCAGGACATAGGCATAGGCAAGGACTTCACGACAAAAACACCAAAAGCACTGGCAACAAAAGCCAAAAGAGACAAATGGTATCTAATTAAACTCCAGAGCTTCTGCACAGCAAAAGAAACAATCATTAGAGTGAACCAGCAACCAACAGAATGGGAAAAAAATTTTGTAATCTACCCATCTGACAAAGGGCTAATATCTAGAATCTACAAAGAACTGAAACAGATTTTCAAGAAAAAAACAAAAAGACCCATTCAAAATTGGGCAAAGGATGTGAACAGATACTTTTCAAAAGAAGACATTTATGAGGCCAACAAACATATGAATAATTGTTCATCGTCACTGGTCATTAGAGAAATGCAAATCAAAACCACATTGAGATACATTCTCACACCAGTTAGAATGGCGATCATTAAAAAATCTGGAGACAACAGATGCTGGAGAGAATGTGGAGAAATGGGAACACTTTTACACTGTTGGTGGGAGTGTAAATTAGTTCAACCATTGTGGAATACAGTGTGGCGATTCCTCAAATACCTAGAAACAGAAATTCCATTTGACCCAGCAATCCCATTACTGGATATATATCCAAAGAATTATAAATCATCCTATTATAAAGACACATGCACAAGTATATTCATAGTGGCGCTGTTTACAATAGCAAAGACCTGGAACCAACCCAAATGCCCATCAATGTTAAAATTGACAGGGAAGATGTGGCACATATACACTATGGAATACTATGCAGCTATACAAAACGATGAGTTTGTGCCCTTTGTAGGGACATGGATGAATCGGGAAACCATCATTCTTAGCAAACTGACACAAGAACAGAAAATCAAATACCATATCTTCTCACTCATAGGCGGGTGTTGAACAGTGAGAACACATGGACACAGGGAGGGAAGCAACACACACTGGGGTCTGTTGTGGAGGAATAGGGGAGGGACAGTGGCGGCTAGGGAGGTTGGGGAGGGATAACTTGGGGAGAAATGCCAGTTATAGGTGACGGGGGGATGGAGGCAGCAAACCATATTCCCATGTACGTACCAATACAACAATTCTGCATGTTCTGCACGTGTACCCCAGAACCTAAAGTCCAATTACTATATATATATATATATATATATATTTATTTTTAAACAATTGCTCTATACCAAAGTTCAGATAAAGGAGCTTGGGAAAGATTCTATGCTTGTGGAAAATGTTTCAAATTCTGGTGTTAAAGAGGACACACAGTTTTCTCTCATGAATGAGAAAACACTTCAATATCAGCCCTAAAGACTCCATAGCAACTTACACACATTTTCAACCATATGGATCTTTTCTTCTGTTATAAACTATATTTAGCATATATAAAACTTTCGTATTGAAAAGACTTGTAAAGTCTTTTCAGGATTTTTTTTTTCAGAGAATATAAAAATTTTAGAAAACAAGTGCACTAATAAAATGCATTTAAAAATTTATGTATTAACAATTAAAATAAAAGTCTATTTGCTTTGAGCAAAATCATAATGCTTCTAAATTAATTGATTTTGTATTTTGTCATAACCGAATTTGGCAGATGCATCTCTCTTCTGCAATGTGATATAGCTTCTGGAGAAAAATTAAAATTTTAAGGCTAAATATTAAACAATTTGAAAATTCATATATCACATTAATTTGGTCATCTGTAATTTTATTAATGAAGATATGCAAAAGTATTGTGAGCTGTAGGAATTTTTAAAAGATGATCATAAATTCAAAGATCCATAAGAATTCATCAAATAATAATTTTCAAATTCTTAAGCCATATAGTTTATGAACTTACTCAGAAATATACCTCAGAGTTTTATATAAAAGCATAGCTAATGATAATTTTAGAAATAATCCTATTTTTAACCTTGATTTTTCTTCACTGGTAGGAAATTACAACCTAAAAAAAGTTTATTATTTTGCAACAATTTCTTGCCTTTTTTCCTTTACCTTTTGAATAAAATAAAAATTTTCAAATCACCTATTTGTATACATCCTTATAGAAAAAATAGTAAAGAAGCTTTTAAAAAATAGCTATAGTTAAAATGTTATACCTTTCTAATTAAGTACAATACAGAATTTTATCATTATAGTATTTCATAGTTGCTCATTATTAGAATTGACTGACTAAAATATTACAACTTTTAAATTTCCAATTTTAGTTATGACAAATTTCAACACATTTTCAATAATTCTTTTTACCTAATAATGCTTTGGCTTTGGAAAACACAATGGATTAAAACTCATACTTTTCTGTTATGTATATAACTAAATTACATATGTATAACTGAGTATATGTGCTTTTATATGTGTATCTATAATAAGCAGATAAAGCTTATATGTGTATAAGTATATATGCTCAGTTATATATATACATATATATATATATATATATATATACACACACACACAATTTCACAAATACTGTTTGTCATATGCAATCAAGAAAAATTAAACTCACATTTGAAATATTTTGGCTTACAATGCCAATATCTTTAACAATTTAATAGGAAAGAAAATACTTCTATGATTATACTTAATAGAAAAAAAATGCATGAGAGAAATGTACACTGTAAAATTGCATTACATTTATTTTCAAGTTTGCAGTGAAATTTAACCAAATAGAAAAAATCTTAGAAAATTAAACATATTAAAAGACTTAAGTTAAACCAAACAAAAATTTTAAATGTCACTAACCCAAAGCATGCACTGCTCTTCTATGCTTGCTGGAGCTCTTGCTTGTTTTAACCACACGAACAGCATTTTCTCTGTACTGCAGCTCACAAAAATTTTCAAGAAATTTTGCCATTTCTTCTGTAACAGTATCCAGGTAAGTTTCTTTAATGAATTTCACTGTTGAGGATGGAGCTAAAATTTCACATAGTGTGTTAAAATCCTCTTTTATTACTGAGTATAACTTAAGCATTGTACTTTGATATCCATTAACTATTATATCTAAATTTGAATCTCTGTTGTAAGAAGGAACGCAGTTCTGCAGAAGATTAGCCAACAGTTTTTTCTGTATGTTTCGGTATTTGATTATAACTTCAGATTCTGGATAAAGAAACAAGAGTTGTTGTAAGCACTGCTTTTTCAATAAAATTTTTTGCTGTGAATTGCTTATTTCATTATGGCTTTGTAATTTGCTCACTAAGAATCGTCGAAGATGTAGTCTTATATCATCCCATATAGACTTGACATCCATAGAGGAATTATCTTCAACAGAATGAAGAGACGTCCTAGAGAGGAAATGGAAAGATGTTCCACTTAGAGTCGATGGGAATGAAACGCTGCTGTGGCAGGAGAGGTCCCAAAGTAAATCCAGCATCATTTCTTCTTGATTCTGTTCATTCTTCAACAAATTTTCCTAATGAAATTATAACATTAGAAATGTGATTAAGTGTAACAGAAAAAAATGATCTATATAGTCATATACAATTTCATAATTTCAGTTTGGAATCAGTACTCTGAAATTTCTCAAGATTTTATTTTTTTGCATTTGAAATTTAATGAGTTCAGACATTTTAGAATGCTAGCTTTTATGGTCTATTAAACTTTGAGTTTATTTCAAACCTAGCTGATTATCTTTTCAGTTAGATTTTTAGACATATAGTTTTTAGCCCTCATTGTTATCCACCTGATACAGCCTGAGCTGTAAAAAAAACTATGGCTTAAAAATTCTAAATACAAATCTATAGTAAAATATTGATTGAAATGTATTCCTAATACAAAATAAATTCAGGATCATGCCCCTAATTCCTGGTAGACAATTTTCATGCTTGAATGAGTATAATTATTATTATAAAACCCCAAATGAACATATAATACAATGTTTTAAAATCATTCTAGAATATAGATCTTTAAATACAGTATGTGCCTGGGGGTTACTAAGAGGCACCATTCTGAGAAGTAAATTTTAATACATTGAAAGATTTTAACTTTCATTTAAATTCCTTTTTGAGAACTGTGTTAAAGATTTTACTTTGAAAATAAATCTGAGAATATTTCAATTTTCTCCAAAGAAATAACCCAAAATGAGAAAAAGATACGCTCAGAATTGTTCCCCAAAAGATGATATAAAATTATTCCTTTATACTTTCTGTGCTGGCAGAAAACAATGGTAGGTATCATTATGAAAAGGGACAAAAACATTACTTTTTTCTTGAACTTTGAATTAAACACACACATTCTCCTTCCAAGCTGACTTTCCTAATTATGTCTATTTCAGCTAATACTGAAATTAGTTTATATTCTCTAGGTAGAAACAAGCTGATTACAAGAGAAATGAAAGCAAGGTTCAAGTGGCATATAATCCGGTTGGCTTTGCAATTTCTTATTGACAAAATACCAAAGGCATTATGTGTAATTCAGAATTACGAACAATTCCTAGGCGAATTTCAGGAATTTTCTCTCATTCATTGTAAGCATTGCGGAGTCTAATGTTCTAACTGTAATAAATAATTATACCCAATAATTATACCAGCAAATGCTTTTTAAGTATTTATACAAACATTTCCCGGTTTCTTCATAAGAATAACTCTTTGGCATATGTATTTAAAAACCCAATTTATACATAAGGACTCAAAAATGAGGGATGCTTCAGTGACTTTTCAAAAGTCACATACGGTAAGGCATAGATTCAAGCAAGAATGGATCCCTGGCTTCTTTCTCTTCATCCGTGTTCTTTCTGCTACACTCCAGAGAGCCACAAAGTACACATGACCTCTATATAGCTTCTTTTTCTCTCCTCTCCTGCTATTGAGTTATTTTGATACTTCTGGAAGAGAAATGTCCTTAGATAGGACACATCAGCATTACTGTAAATTCTATAAAGCAAATAAGTCATATTAGTGCCTCTGCCTTGGTTTTTAAGTCAGGCAATAATGGGAAATATTTGATCAGATAATGAATAGATTACAGAGGTTTAAAACATACGTTTAGTATGACTGCTTAAATTTTGAAAATAACTTTGGTACATCTGCCATAATGAGGACCTCTGTTTCTTATTTAAATTGCTAGAAAATTAACAAGAAACTTTCTATGAAAAAAACAGATGTATGAAAAATGCCATCATGACTGACATTTTTTAGCATGTAAAAACTTGATAATAAGGTCATGTAAATCTGGATCTGTTTTAACAATGTGGTTCCTTCCTTAAAATAACATGATCGATTATGTAAAAAAATCTAGGACTGGGACAAGCCTATCAGTCTAATGAATTTGAGCAAAACTAAAGTGGCCTTTGCCCTGCAGTGAATAGAGAATGACTTACGTGTGACAGATTAAAAGATAATTGAAAGCTTTTCCTTTTAATTAAATGAGAAAGCATTATTACATCAGTATTAATGAAATTCAATACACATGGCTCTTAATAGAAATTAAAGGAATAACTATATCCATATTTATTCTTCAAGACTTCACCTTCAAGAGATAATGAGTGAGAAGTTTCCTTAAAAGAATAAGGCTTCAGGGCACACAGTCTTCCTTTCTCTTCCTTTTATTACTTTGTAAACATTAAAGAGACGTCTGAAATAATAACAGGCAAAAACTATTTTCATCTGATTCTGTCATCCTAAGCCATCTACAACCTCCAGATATTTTCCACATCTGCCTTAGTCAATGTTTGATGTTTAGATAAAAACAGTGCCTTTTTTCCTCTAAATTAAATTAAAACCATAGCTAAAGAAATACTGCTTTCTAACAATTGTGCTGCTTCTCTGGGAATCTGTTTTTGCAAGCTAGCCAGTCTTGGAGATACAAGTGTGATAAAATAACTGTTCTTGTTGAAGATTACAAAAACTTCTCTGGCATAGAGGGTGGTCAGTATCAAGGATGACCAATATAATAATTCTCCATCATTTGGTGGTCTTGCATAAATTGCTACCTTGATTGAAAAGAACTGGGTAAGACTTGAGGTTAGAAATGCAGGGAATAATATTAAAGGCCACTTAACAGACACGATCAATGGGGATCTTACTATGCTTAGTAATGAGCACTGCAAAAATGAATAGTTGTGAAGGGATATAAAATATGAAGAATATGAACTTCTCTGGGAGACAACTGTGATACACATCAATACATTTTGTGGTATTGATATATATCATACCACAAATCCCTCAGGAATCATAATATTTAATCTCCATTTATATAAAATTTTATTTTATTGATAAAATTCATAGTTAAATACTACAACAAACAGCTTGGTGGATTCTATTGGGAATATAGAAACATAAAATGAAAACACAAACCCTGTAGGTACGACAGGCTAATATGGTCACTCAAATAAATATTTACATATAGAAATTGAATGAGTTGTATTCCCCATTTACTCATCTCAATCTATGATAAAATAATGATTCATTTTACCAGTGTTTTGAGGAATTTTGTCAAATCTCCATGTGGAATGAAAGATGACTTGGATGTACTGTAACTATAGTGAGTTAGCCATTCAAAGCAGTCAGTTGGTGTTTGCAGCTGCACACCCGGACATTGTTTGTTAATTTTGGACTGTATCTCTTTAATGCAATGTTCTATGCTATAAAAAAGAGAAGAAAAAGTTATTTTGGCAGGATATAGATAATGGCTTCATCTCATAATATGACAGGCCCTGAAATCTTCATATGTGGTACCTGGTTTTGCACAATTTACAAATTTCATTCATATGATATGAAAATAATTACAAAGAGACTATACATTCATAGTTGAAAACTGAGAGTTCAAATTTTCTGGCAGTAAAAAATGTGATAAAGGAAATATAAAATAGCTACTCAGAGATGAACTAGAAATTCTTTTGTGTTGAAACAAAAATCAAGCATAGATGTAATTCGATAATAGCCCTCTTGATAGGCAATAGATAAAAGGAAGAGAGAAAATACTGAACACTGTAAATATTAGAAATTTACATTATCTACTAAGAGGTAAATGACTGTATAAATGATTAAAAACTTCAATCAATGGAATAATAAGTCATCAAGTAGTTATAAAGAGCTTATAATTTTAAAAGTTGTAAAATATACAAGCTGTATATACAACGTTATTAGAGCCAAGTACCTTTTCCTGTTATCCAATTCCACTACTAAAAACAGAAACAAAAATTACTAAAAATTGCATTTAAAAATGACTAGAAGGAAATGAAGCAAAGGGTTAACAGCAATTATATTTTGGTGATATAATTAGGTAAGTTTTAAAGTTTGCTCTTCCATAGTTTCTAAGTATGTATAAGGCATAAGATAAAATGATTCATTTACCAAAAAAGTAAACCAAGAACAGAGAAAAAAATGTCCAGTTGAATCTTGCAATATGTATCTGTTTTAAAACTTCCATTCAAAGTATCCTTAGTGTTGATAAAATAACAGATATACTATGTTATTTTAATTTCCACATACAATTCTGTGCATTCATGATTATAAATCTTTGTGGGTTAAACTGGTGACCTTTAGCAGAGTGCCATCTGCAGAACCACATGGATATGACATATTACTACCACCTGATGGCAGCATATCTAAACTTCAAGAAAGCTTTCAAACAGCTAAATTCCTTTGAAGCTGAAACACCTCACCAAAAATTGACAGCTATGCATTTATCTCTTAATCATATTAAGAAAGATTTGCTACTAAGAGGTAAAGTTAATGGTTTGAAAATGTAACTGCTATTAATTAAAGGTTCCATATGATAGAACCTGGTAGGCTTTAGAAATCAAGTGCTCCTTATTAAAGCAGATGTCATATGAAAGACTCTTTGAAATTCATCAGGTGTGGGTTGCCTATAAAACATACACTGTAAAAGTTTAAGTAATACTTCTCAGGAGGCTTCTGAGCATGAGTGAATTCAAACTAAATTACCTTGAAACAAATACATTCTGAGAATCAAAGAACCTTTTCATGAAAACAAAGAACTTAAATGAAAAACAATACCTCTTCGGGCCACAGGCCGCTCAGTTTCCTGATAGGATAGCCGTATTCATTCAGGAATACCAGTTCTACCTTTGACAAGAGATTGGCATGTATTTTCTTAACTTATATAAGCACTTCTATGGACAGAGAAACACAATGCCTTAAGCATACACCTTGACGCTAGGGATCCTTTATCAAAGGTTTTTATTATACCATCCTCATGTGTCTCATTCAATTAAACCTAATAGATTACAGCAATATGAATTAGAAAGGCTCAGAAGTTAGTCTACCTAAATCTGTTTCAATGAGGACTCTGATTATAGCGTAATTTCTAACATCTGAATCTGGGCAGAGGCCAGCAACTACAATTTATAAATAGGGTAAAGCCTTTTAGAGGGCTAAATATTTTAGTAATTTGTTCAAACACTGACAAAGGGATTGAGTGGTTGCATTTCAGGGGACCTCCCTCATTGATACAAACTAAGACAGATAAACTTTATTTTAAAATCATTTTGTCACAAATTATAAAACATCAGAACCAATTATCTATACCTGATTTTGTTTTTAGTTGGCTGTCTTGTTGTCTGCCACTTGCCACTGCCTATACATCTTGTTTTAAAAACTTAATCCTCTGAAATCTAGATATTTCTTGTCCAATTGTTACACAAAATAAATATTTTCAAAATTTATAATAAATGTCAGTTTGGTATGTAATCGACAATTTATCTTCGTATTCAAGGTCAGAATAAATTACAATCTAATTTTCAGCATTTAAAAGGTAACATTTAAAAAATAAATAAAAGGTAACATTTTCAACTGTTACCTTTCAAATACTATGCATTATTCAGGATTAACATAGGTGGTAAAAACGTAAGGAAATGCACTGGGATCATCAGCAGCACCGTCTGGTAGAGTGGGGATGGAAGTGGTATCAAACTGGGGAGAGGTACACAGAAAGCTTTAGCTATACTAGTAATGCTTTATTTCTTAAACTAGATGGTGGGCACTGGAGTATTTATCATAGTACTCAATGCCTTTTCGTATGTCTCAACATTTCTTAATAAATTTGAACACCAATGTGCTTTAATTATAATGACTCTGAATTATCCAAGTTAATGACGTGTGAAAGTGGATGCATTACTGAGAATCTGTGTATAAATCAATTTATAAAGCATTTTAAAAAGGCAATAAGGAGTATGCTTTTAAAAAGATATCTACTGCAATTTTCTCATTCAACATTTACTCCTAGATTCCCTGACTGTAAAAATTGCTAATTGATTGAAGGTATTATATTTGATAAACATTAGCTGAATGTTAAATATGTTGTAGGCATTGTGATATATACTAGGGAACTCAATGTGAATAAGATATCGTCTGGTCTGTAAAGGAATTGTGTCTAGTGAAAGAGATAGACTTGTAAATAAACAACTACAGTACAGTAAGTCTTGATAATTAGTGTGTACAATGTGCTAAGGGAGTACACAGGACGGAGCCACTAAAAGTGCCTGTAGGGGGTGTAAAAAGGCTTTTCCTTGTAGAAGAGGAGATTATATGCAAGGATGTTGATTTAAGAATATTAGTAGAATCACTGTACTTAAAATTCCCTAACATCTCACCCCTCAGAATTCGGTACTTGTCATCTAACCTCATTGTTGTCTCACTTCAAAACTGTATTTATTTGGAGAATAAGAATATGAATTAATTTTTATGGTTACTATTACATTCATGCATGTATGGATGTATGTGTGTATGTATATATGCACCATCTTACTTCCAAAAAGACTGAGATATCACACTATTGGACAGATTGCATTAAATAACAATAGCAGTCGAAGAGCTGATTAATATTGAACTGGTACAGTTGGAGATAGAATGAGAAATTAAAAAACAGAAGAAGATAATTATAACATAAAATCTTGGAACTTCGGCTTATTATAAAAGCTCTTACAAGATTTCAAAAGTATTATCCGGTCACAAAATAGTTAAAAGGAAAAAAGTATTTTCCACTGACAAAATTACAAGAACTTTTTAAATAAAAAGACTGTAGAAACACATATATGTGCTTTAATGGAATGTTAAAATATTCTGAAATTTTTTTCTTCAAATTTGTTAGTTTTTAAATTTATGGCTTCTGAATTTTTTTTTAATTTACACTCCCACCAACAGTGTAAAAGTGTTCTTCTTTCTCCACATCCTCTCCAGCATCTGTTGTCTCCAGATTTTTTAATGATCGCCATTCTAACTGGCGTGAGATGGTATCTCAATGTGGTTTTGATTTGCATTTCTCTAATGGCCAGTGATGATGAGCATTTTTTCATATGTTGGCCTCATGTATGTCTTCTTTTGTAGTGTCTGTTTATAACCTTTGCCCACTTTTGAATGGGTTTGTGTATTTTTTTCTTGTAAATCTGTTTTAGTTCTTTGCAGATTCTGGATATTAGCCCTTTGTCAGATGAGTAGATCACAATTTTTTTTTTTTTCCATTCTGTTGGTTGCCTGTTCACTCTGATGACTGTTTCTTTTGCTGTGCAGAAACTCTTAAGTTTAATTAGATCCCATTTGTCAATTTTGGCTTTTGTGGCCATTGCTTTTGGTGTTTTAGTCATGAAGTCCTTGCTTATGCCTATGTCCTGAATGGTACTGCCTAGGTTTTCTTCTGGGTTTTTATGGTCTTAGGTCTTATGTTTAAATCTTCAATCCATCTGGAGTTAATTTTAGTGTAAGATGTCAGGAAGGGGTCCAGTTTCTGCTTTCTGCACAAGGCTAGCCAGTTTTCCTAACACCATTTTTTATTTTTTTATTTTTTTAATTTTTGAGATGGAATTTCGCTCTTGTTACCCAGGCTGGAGTGCAATGGTGTGATCTCGGCTCACCGCAACCTTCGCCTCCTGGGTTCAGGCAATTCTCCTGCCTCAGCCTCCTGAGTAGCTGGGATTACAGGCACGCGCCAGCATGCCCAGCTAATTTTTTGTATTTTTAGTAGAGACGGGGTTTCACCATGTTGACCAGGATGGTCTCGATCTCTTGACCTCATCATCCACCTGCCTCAGCCTCCCAAAGTGCTGGGATTACAGGATTGAGTCACTGCGCCTAGCAACACCATTTATTAAACAGGGAATCCTTTCCCCATTGCTTGTTTTTGTCCAGTTTGTCAAAGATCAGATGGTTGTAGATGTGTGGTGTTGCCTCCGAGGCCTCTGTTCTGTTCCTTTGGTCTATATGTCTGTTTTGGTACCAGTACCATGCTGTTTCTGTTTTGATTACTGTAGCCTCATAGTATACTTTGAAGTCATGTAGTGTGATGCCTCCAGCTTTGTTCTTTTGCTTAGGATTAGTCTTGGCTATGCAGGCTCTCTTTTGGTTCCATATGAAGTTTAAGGTGTTTTTTCCAGTTCTGTGAAGAAGGTCAGTGGTAGCTTGACAGGGACAGTGTTGAATCCATAAATTACTTTGAGCAGTATGGCCACTTTCACAATATTGATTCTTCCTAACCATGAACATGGAATGTTTTTCCCTCTGTTTGTGTCCTCTCTTATTTCCTTGAGCAGTGGTCTGTAGTTTTCCTTGAAGAGGTCCTTTATATCCTTTGTTAGTTGTATGCCTAGGTATTTTATTCTCTTTGTAGCAATTGTGAATGGCAGTT